GCACCGCTACGCTTGGAATCCCTCTTTTCCTTCAAGACTACATGAAGCCACTCTTGAGCCCTCCAGCTGTTGGCGCCCTCTCCCTCTACCCATAACCACGTTGTATTCCATTTGTATATGGTATGTGTGTGCACATATGCCTGGGTGGACACGTTGTTTCCCCCATTCGAATGTAAGCTCCAGTCACTCAGTCATTAAGGTTTATTAAGCACCTGCTGTGTGCCAGGCACTATGCTAAGTAAGCATCAAGGACCAGAGAAGAGGCAAAAGACAGTCCCTGCCCTCGAGGAGCTTACCATCATAGGGAGGACAAGCAATGCAAATACGTAAATGGGGGGGGGGACTGTCTTAGCATATGTTGTTTAGTGGTTTTCAGTCATATCTGACTCTTAGTGACCCCTTTTGGGGTTTTCTTGGTAGAGATACTGGAGTGGTTTTCCATTTCCTTCTCCAACTCATTTTATAAATGAGAAAACTGAGGCAAACAGGGTGAAGTGACTTGCCCAGGTCACATAGCTAATGTCTGAGGCTGGATTTAAACCCGGGTCTTCCTGCCTCCAGGCCCTGTGCTCTATTCACTGCTCCACCCAGCTGCCCCACCCGGTGTATAGGAAGAGCTTGATAAACACTAGTAGGTAGATGGATGCTGAGGGAAACTGGAGCCCTGAAGGTGAGAGATGCTCAGTGTCAGGAAACCAGGCTCCTCTCTCCAGGACCCCAGCAGAGCTGCCAGCATAAACACCTGCTCCTCCCACATAAATTTGGTAGGTTAGCTACACCCCCAAGAAAAATCCACAGAGCTGTTTTCCAGACTCGAGTAAGAAACACACCTGCTGTGCAGTGAGCCTTCCCCAGGCAGCTTCACCCTCCCAGACCCTACCGGGGCGGGCCAGGGACCACAGCTCTGGCCTCCTGGGGAGAGTCTTCCTGGACAGGTATTGCTTATGCTTTTCTGTTCCGCTCCTGTCCTCCCAGTTCATCTCCCATAGAGCAGGGGAGTGGAGTTTCAAAAGAAAACGATGAGTCAGCCAGCTTCTAAATTGCTGCTAAGATTACTGTTTGGTTATATTCTACCCTCAGAAGAGCGGAAGGAGGAGGGGAGGCAGAAGCATGGGGAGAGACAATCAAGCCCAGCTGACTCCTGGCTGCATTCGTCCGACGTGGCCCAGCCTCGTGGAGAGAGATGCACCTGATGCCCGCAGAAGATAGAACTGTGTCGGGGCTATCTGGTGAACGCTGGAAAGCAAATAGGGCAGGCTAACGGGGCGAGGGAAGAGATCTCCCTCATCGATTACGGAGTGTAGAAATCAAACCTGGCACACGTGAGTCACGAAGTCTTAACGGCTGCACGCTGCCCGGAGAGCTGGGAGCTTGTTTCCATCTGCACTGAGCGGCTTAGCACAGAGGCCTGGGCTAAATGAAGTCCCAACTTTTCTGCCCGGCTTTGAAGAGCCTCCGTGGCTTAGCTCCAAGCTTCTCTTCCAGACTTCTCTTTCATGTACCTGCTGAGTCCCAAACGGGACCGATTGCTGCTCCCCTGTGTTACTGCTGCTCGGTCTTCGTGACCCTGTTTGAGGTTTTCTTGGCAAAGACACTGGAATGATTTTTTATTTCTTTCTCCAGCTCACTTTACAGTTGAGGAAACTGAGGCAAACAGAATTAAATGACTTGCCCAGGGTCACACAGCTAGTCAGTGTCTGAGGCTAGATTTGAACTCAGGAAGATGAGCTTTCTGATTCCAGGCTTGGTGCTCTATCCACTGTGCCACCTAGCTGCCCCATATGCTCCCCTCGCACACCCCATAAGCCTTTGCTCACTTTGTGACCTCTGGGAAAAAGCCCTTCCTCCTCATGTTAGCCTGTTGGCCAATGCCTGCCCATTCTTCAAAGTCCAGTTCGAATGCCATCTTGTCCAAGATGCTTTCCCCGCTCTCTCCCAACTGGAGGCCAGAAAGCATTCAAGCTGAGAAGAGAATGTGCAGATCGTCTCATCCAAACCTCTCATTTTAGGCAGAAGGAAACAGAAACCTACAAGGAGGGAGTGATTTGCCCAGAAAAAACACAGGTTTGTGTTAAGCCCTTAACCTTTCACTCATCTCAAATCTCAGAGCACTGTATCAAATTATATTTTATTTTTTAATCAGCAAAAGTCTACCCTTTTATCCTCCCACTCCAAACCCCGACTGAAAACACCACCGACCACAAACACGTATAGTCAATCACACAAATTTCAACATTGGCTGAGTGCAGAAAACGTTCTCATTCTGCCCTCTGACCCCTTCACCTCTCTGTCGGGGGTGGGCAGCAAGTCTCATTATCAGTCCTCTGGGATCCTGGTTGGCCATTACACTGATCAGAGGTCCTCGTTCATTCCAAGTTGTTTGCCTTTATCATCTTCTTGTCATTTTATAAATCATTCTCTTGGTTCTGCTCACTTCCCTGTGTGTCAGTTCATACAAGTCTTTCTGGGGTTTCTCTGAAACCCTCTCCTTTATCATCTCCTATAGCACAAGAGTATTCCATCACATTCATGTGCCGTGAGTCGTGCAGCCATTCCCCAATTGACGGGCACCCCCTCAGATCCCCATTCTCTGCTGCCTCTAAAAGAGTTGCTGGAAATACTTTTGTGCATCCTTAGGACCATCCTCTCTTGGTCTGCCCTCCCTTTAATTCCCCCTTTTCCTCTTTCTCTCTTAAGACCCTGTTGGGTGAAATGTATTTCTGTACCCAACTCTGTGTGTGTGTGTGTGTGTGTGTGTGTGTGTGTGTGCGCGCGCGCTTCCTTCAGTGCCAGACGCCACAGAAACAACAAAAAAGACACGGTCCCTGCCTTCGTGGAGTTAAACACTACTGGGGTGGGGGTGGGGAGAAATTACCCAGCTAAGTCTATACAACATATAGAGAATAACCAATCACCAAGTAATTTCAGAAGAGGAGAGCGTCCTGTAAGCAGTGGCACCGAAATCATGCTTGGAAAGAAGCCGGTGATTCTAGGAGGGAGAGGCACGGAGGGAGAGCTTTGTAAGCATAAGGAAGAGCTCCTGAAAAGGCAAAGAGGAGGGGTGGGGGACTCTGGGTAGAGCTGGCTGATTCAGCCGGGATGCTACCAGAACCACCCTGGGGCTGCCTGCCTGGCCATGCTTGGTCCCACAGCATAGCCCAGCCACCTCCTTTTTCCGCCAGTGCATTCTTGAGACTGTTTTTCATGCCAGGTTCTTTTTTTTTTTTTCACTTATAGTATGGTAATTTTTATTTATTTTTTGTTTTCAACATTTACGTCCACAAGATTTTGAATTCCAAATCTTCACCCCATCTCGCCCCTCCCCCCACCCCAAGATGGCATGCATTCATGCCAGGTTCTATTTGACAGGTTATCATTGGTGAGATGAAGCAACCCCTTTACCCACTCCCTAAAGGATTAACACTGGAGACCTAAGAAAGGGGCTGATCACCCACCTTTGGCCTGAAAGCATTATGGAATGGTGGTTATTACACCAGGGTGGGAGTGTCCCCTTCCTATGACTCCAAAGAGGTAACAGATACCACGTCCTCACAACCTGAGCTTGGAAAGAGCTGGGAACAGATATCCCTTTTTTACCACACAGGATATCCTCCTCCTGGGTGGCGGGAGCTGCTCAGAGAGTCTGATGCCTGAGAATGAACTCAGGCCACTAAGCAGTGAGCTGCACAGATAAGGTTTACATTGCATAGTTGGCACACAAGACCTCCCCTCTCTTCTTTCCACTTCCCAATTCCCCTTGATCTTATCAGCTTGCTATTCCAAATACACCTTGGTACCACTTTCTCTAGCACTATCAAAATGGCTGTTGCTATTTTGACTGGCACAGCATTATGGCTTTAAATTAATTTTGTTACCACTTTAATCTTTACAATATTGATTTGACATGTAAATGATGTAAAATCTAAATTATGTAAATTATATAAAATCTAAACTTGTTTTATACTTTCAACTCCATAAGCATTTCTACATTGTATTATTATATTATTTGTACACTGAACAGACTTTATCTTATTAATGGGCTCTCAGTGTTGGGTGTCAATCAGGCCCAGGCAACAGCATAAGAGGGTGGCAATGGAGGATGGGGGGTGGGCTCAGTGAGGGGCAGCCTACTTTCATTTGGGAGCCTACAACTCCAGCTCCAGAAGATTATGGAAAGTTTACTGGTCATTCAAGGATGGACTCCCTTAGCTTTCTGCTAAACAAATTGGCACCAGGTGCCAAACTCCTAGTCACGTCTCTGTTAAGCACCTACTATGTGCAAGAGTTTCAGGCTCACAGATTTAGAGCGAGAAGGTGCCTTAGCAGCCATCTGGTCCATCATCCTCTTTTTATAGATTTATAGATTTATAGATTCTCTATAGATATAGAGAATTAAGACACAGGTCAAGCGAGTTGCCCAAAGTGAAACAAATAGTAAACATCAGAAATGGTTTGAACCCTGGTCCTTTGACTCCAGAACCAACACTATTTGTGTTCGGCCACGCTGCCTCCCATGTTTGTTAAATGGAATGGAATTGGACTGAAGAGTAGTTCTAACAAAATGGTAGATGGCAAGAATGCCTATGGCAATGGTGTTCTGCACGCTTATGACAGAATGCATGTGATGGTGGTAGAAGCGTGGTCTTGGTATCAGAAGACCAGTAACCAAGGTGTAACTTCGGTCAGGTCACCTCTCTGATCCTCTGTTTCCTCCTCTGTAGAATGAGAATAACACACGTATGTTTACCTTTCACAGTTATTTAGACCCTTGAGTGAGGTGACGAATATTAGACACATTGTAACTGTAAATTTCTATGTAAATGTGAGCTGTTACTACTATCATCTCACCTATATCTGTGAAGTCCTTTGTCAATGATGCTAGGATTTATCAGGATAGTGGGGGACTGCTCACCTGGCTGTGTCTTCATTGCATAAGCCAAATTACTGATACTACTTCCTACCCCAGCTGGAAAGTCCCAGAGTAACCAGAAGCATTTCCATATTTGAGACTATATCTTTTAATCACTTAAACACAGCCTGTTCCATGTTTACAGCATGATAAAATATTTTATACATTGGAAACATCGTAAGGCCAGAGGATCACATCTGGAGAATGAACACTTCAAGAGAAACGGTTGACCAAAGACTTCCCAAGGAATAATTTCTGCTTACAACATCTCTGCTTGACGGAACCTTGGCCAACCTTAACCAATCTGTTGGACCCTGTTGGTTGAGTCAAGATGGGGCTCATGTCAAACTTAATTCTCAAATCTGTTAGCAACTGAAAAATATTGTTAGCATTACTCAAGGGGCATGCGTTGTTTAGAGGAAACGAATAGGACTGTTTGCAGTCTGTGTTCATGCTGTCTTCCACACTGCTTCCTCGTCTCTGCCCACCCACCCACCATCTTGCAGGGAATAAGCCCCCTCATCAGAAAAGCTGTCATCGCACTGAATGAAGGTTTTCTCGAGCCAGCCCGCCTCTTCCCACCTCCTTCCCAGCATGCCCCTGGAGTCTGACCACCCCACAGTCTCAGGTCACGATGGTAGGGGTGTGCGTGCATGCACAAGTCTCAAGTGGCGCACACCACGGTGGTGAGGCCTTACACGATGCCCTCGTTCCGCTGACTCTTGTACACCACCAGCGCTGTGCCAAGCAGCGTCACCAAGATGGGGGCGACGATGAAGGGGCAGAGGATATTGCTGGGCGGGTCTTTCAGGACCCTTCCCGTGGCAGGGCAGTCTTGGAAGTAGTGCCTGTGAATGGCCAGGAAGAAGTCGTTCACCTGGTGGTTGGGCCAATAGCAGTCCAGCTTCTCAGCGATGAGGTAGGTGCAGTTGGTGACCTCTCTGTAACTCCTGCAAGAGAAAGGGCTGTCAGCAGAGAGAAGGGAAAGGGAGGGAAAGGGAGGGAAAGGGAGGGAAAGGGAGGGGAGGACCAGGGAGCTCTGCAGGCCTCTCTGCCCTTGGCACCAGGATGGATGTTCCCCTTCCCTGGCTTCCAGAATCCGTCCCCACTGGGTGCTGCCTTCTCCCATTTGGACAGGAGTTCCCTGAGGGCAGGGAGACTATTTTGCTTGTTTGTGTCTGTACCTCCAGCCCTTAGCCCAGTGCTGGGTACACATCAAGTGCTTAATAAATGTTCTCTCTCTCTCTCTCTCTCTCTCCTCTCTTTCTCTCTCTTTCTCCCTCTGCCTCTCTCTGTCTCTCTCTCCTCTTTCTCTCTCTCTCTCTCTCCTCTCTCTCTCTTTCTTTCTCCCTCTGTCTCTCTCTGTCTCTCTCTCTCCTCTCTCTCTTTCTCTCTCTCTCCTCTCTTTCTCCCTCTGTCTCTCTCTGTCTCTCTCTCCTCTCTCCTCTCTCTCTCCTCTCTCCTCTCTCTCTCCT